TGAGTCAAAAGTATCCGGACACAATAAGTGTTCAAATATTTTTTTAATTAACTTAAACTTTTCTTACGTGCCATATCTTAGATCTAAACAAAATAGAAAAATCTTAAAATTAATTTGAAATAAATAAATAATAAATTATACAAATGGAAAGCAATGACACTGAGACACACAACTATATAATTTATAGAAGCCATTGAGGCACACAAATAAAATATATAGAAGCATTGAAACTTTTAATCTAAAAAAGTATTTTAATAATTTGTTGAACATTTTATCCCTTTTATAACTTTTACGAGTCTTCTAAGCATCGATATCATAATTTTTTTTATTCGTTTTGATTATTGTCTTGGTGATTGGTTTTTTTTTTCTATTGTTTTGTAGATTTTTTTATATTTTTAAACGTTCTCTGAAGAATTTTTTCGAAGTTCATTTCTATTGGAAATTTTAAATTTATTAATTTTTCTTGCAAATGGTCCCAAATACGCTTAATAAAGTGAGTTCTGGATACTGCGCAGACGTTTTGATTATGTATGGGTGAGTTATATAAAGTCCATTGTTTTCATATCTGAGCATTATACTTGCCTGGCATTATTGTCTTGATAAAATTTGTAATAAGACCAATATGCCGATTTCTTGGCTCTCTGTCTCAAGTTTCGTTTCAACATGTTTAAAGTTACGAACTTATCCCATTTTGCTGTCGATAAAATGTAGATTTCCAACACATACAATCCTAGGTCAGCTGGCTACCTCCGCTATGTTCTACTGAAGGAATGAGACTCTACATTTGAAGTTCAGTCTGTTCAATTTGCGTTTTACTATACCATTTGCTTTCTTTCACTTCCAAAAATACTGAACCTTGCTTTCACCTTTAACTACAACCGAATTTCAAATATCTCGAGACTTTTAGTATAGGTGTTAACGTATAAGGTATTTCTCCCGCCTTCCTAGCGTGCCTTCGTGGTGCAGTGGTCAGCACACTGAGCGGGTATTTCAGAGGTCCGTGGTTCGATTCCCGGCGAAGGTGATTGCTAATTTTTCATCATACCTGCTCCTAAAAATCCTAATGTCTCTACAGTGGTGCAGGAACTAAAAGGGTGTTGGAATTATTCATTCGGAACTAAATTTTAACTTAATGTAATTAATGAAAAAAAGACGTAGAGTGTTTCTTTTAGCAATTTCGTACTTTAACAAGAGGACTTCATATAATCAACAAACTGTAAATGATATTTAGCATGTCTCTAAATCTTCAATTCAGAAAATCAAAAATCAGATTGCTTAAATGTTATGTTGCTTCTCACGGCCTTTATCTCTGACGAAGTTATTTGCATATAAAATCTTTCTTTACATCGGAATTGCTGGTGCGACAGCTCAACGAACTGCATACAATAGTGCGCAAACTCTTAATTGAAACCACTCTTCCTTTGAACTTTTTTATGGGATGCTTAGAAATATCTCTTGCAGACACAATCGCTTACCTCATTAATAAGACTCAGTCAAGCGTATCGTGTTCAATCCATATTTGCCATGGAGCACCAATAGATGTGGCAGCTTACTCATAGATGTCTCCATTGTTCAAAAAGTCATTCACTGTTAAAGGGTTCTGAGTCACGGATTTATTGCCAATGATATCCCAATGTTCATTATCTTTTAAAAACATGCGTAATTTCTGATGACAAAGTTATTTTTCCATGAATGTTAAAGAATAGCTTTGTTATTACTTCTAATGGTGTCATTTCTTGTTATTTTACCGTGGCGCTCTCGTTTGAGAATAGAAAATAACATTTCCAGATTTGTCATTTTTCACTTTTAACATTTTTCAGTGATCTGATTTGTGTAAAGGCACATTGAAAGCTGCATACCTTTTTCTTGTATGGTGTTAAGAGCAAACGTTTATTATCTAAGTGCATAAACACGTTTTATTTATTTATGTATTTTCGTAAATTTATTCATTGAAAATTTCTATTCTGTCATTGCTGCATATCCTAAACTCTAGTATTGTTGTGTTATATTAAATGCACCATAATACAATTCACTATAGTGTTACAGACAGGAACACATAGCTTGTTATGTCAAAGAGAAATCAAGTGATATTCGTATCCAGAAAAATGCTATTCCTGAGAGATATTCCAAAGGTAAAAAGCTTGCATTTATGTAACTCACTGGAAAGGTTCTGAAAGCAACTCCTTCGACTGCCGAGAATCCAATCCAAGAAGCTAGTTAATGTTTTTTCGTCTTGCCCATTAGTTAAATAGGGAACCATAAGGTGATACAGTAGATTCAGAGCAAAGGTATGCTTAGATAAAATGAAAACAAGAATTCTCGCGATTGCCCTGGTATATTTATTCCTAATCACGCATATTTTGAAAATAAGAGTTGTATCCAATATTAATATTTCAATGAACGTAACCCGTCTCATCAGTGAAGTTTTACTGGTAATTGGCATTTCCTAGATTAAATACATTTAAACAAGTTTTACATTCCAATAAAATTTCATGATATTTAGCCTAAAGGTTTTATGTTTCCTTGATGAATCCACATTAAATATTATTAGGCATTATCACATTAAATAGCAGAGAAAAATACTTAAGAAACACTGAAATTAAATTGCATGTCGTTAAAATGCCTTCCCTTTCTACCGCGTATGTACAGAAATTTGTGATTTGAATCACTTTGCGAAAGAAAATTAAAAATTATATATAGATTAGGAATTTTAATTGCATATTTATAATACCCTTTCTGAAAAGAGAAAAAATAAATTAACGATGAAAGTAAATTGAAATAGTGCTCCTTTACACATGAGCTAAATGTTTGATTTAAATTTGTAATTTTTTAATTAAATTTCTATGACTTTTTTTTGTTAAATTCTTCACATTAACTCGCTTTTGTTGAAATGCATATATTAATTCATCGTTTTACGCATACATCTTAATTCATTGTTGTTAAAAATGCGCATCTGTCTGTTTGGAGGAAGCGATTTCGGCCGCTTCAGCTTTCAAGTTAAGTGGAAGTCGCTCATGCGCAATAGACCTAGATTTAAGGTGCCTATCAGAGATTCACATTTTTATTTATGAGCCCGGCAGACAGTTGTAACCTGGATTGCTGGATCCTAACTGGGATAATTTTAGAAATGGTGTTTTCGTTTTGTTTTTCGATTAGGAAGCCCTCTAACTTTTCTTTTTGTCTTACGGATTGGCACTAACGCATGTCTCTAATTGTAAAAATGCTGTTAAAAGTTAGCGTTTTTCTTTTGTTTTAAGTTTTTACAAAAACACCTTGAACTTTTATTTCTTGCTCAAAATGCAATTGTATTTGAAACGGAATTTCAAGTAAAAGTTAGTTTTATTGCGCAAATATATCCACACCTCTACTTTCCATAGAAATATGAACTTAAATTAATCTCAATTAAATAGCTAGCATGGATTAAATTAAATAAACAGATCTAAATCTAAATGGGTAGCACAGATAATCTTAATTATCTGTACTGTCTATTTCGTGTCAATTGTTTTGAAGATGAAACTTAGCTATCAAACACAGAAAACTGTTGATGAAACATGAAGCAATAAATAATCCTATAGGCATCAGGATGTATTTCTGCTTGAGTAATCTTCCTTGTGCTGAAAATTTCACTTTGCCTTTATGCTGTTATATATTCTTTAGTACCTCAAAGTCATCGGTTTCCGATATGTTACACATTCGGATATGTACATGACATTCGCTGAAACTGGCATTAATATCCTTGTTCCGAAGTTTCTCATGTTTTTTTCATTTATTCGCATCTTATCTTTTTGCCATTTTTATTAGCGTAGACTGGCTTAGATTTTGAATTTTAGATCTTAGACTGATGTACATTTTGAATAAAACTATACCAGTCCAATATCGACCTTTTGTTTTGAATTTTTTTTTTATTTAATTTTATTATTTTTCTACTACATAATTAACTTATCCAAAATCTCAGGCTCAGTCTAAATCGTAAACTGGCCTTATACTAAATGCCTATTTTTGCCGCTTAAATTGATGTACATTTTAAGTCTAGATTTTGAATAAAACTGCGCTAATTCAAGGTGAGTGTAGATTTTATGCAACATTTACAAAGGCTTTAAACTGGTGGCATTTTAAAGTACCTTAAATTCTCGCAGATGTTGTTCAAAAGCTACTCCACTTTAAAGTTGCTTTTTTTGTATACTTTTAAATTTTGCATTGGCACGTGTCTGTTCTACTTTAAAGCAACACTCACTTTTGTTTCAAGAACTTCATAAAATATTCCGATATAATCTTCATTAAAAGGATGGATAAGACTTTAATTCTAACGCATGTTAGGCTAGGAAATCGTAAGAAATTAGTCATATTCTTGAAATTTGTGTGTTTTAAATTTGCATACGAAGAAATATTAAATGTTATGAGCAGTTTCTTTTTCTGTCTACATTCACATTATTATTTTTTCCTAGCCATTAATGAATCTGGTATTTAATTTGGGTATATTAAATGCATTTTGCAATCACGAAATTTTGGAAAATTCTTATAACTTACATCCGTTTTCCAAAATAAGTGATAGTTATTGTTAAATAGTTGTTTGTAGCTACGCTTGTAGAGACATTAGGTTATTTCGAAGCAGGAGACATGAAAAAGGGAGCAGTGCCTCGCCGGGATTCAACCACGGACTTCTCGAATACGCACCGAGCGTGCTGACCACTACACCACGAAGGCATGCTAAGAAGGCGGGGAAAATATCTTATAAGGTGTTTGCTTGTTGCCCAATTTTTTGTAGTTGTTTAATTTTCTTGTTAATATATTGAATGGCTTATAAGAAACTGATTTATCTCAGATTTAGACTGATTAACTGATTAACTGATTTAGACTTTTTTATGATTTTCTGGAGAGATATGAAAGATAATTTTATTTCTGTTTGCATTGCTTTAATGCAGAAATTTTGTTTGCATTGCTTTAAACAGAAATTTAATGTTTGCAATACTTTCTATTTATTATTTTCTCTGTTTTTTTAGAGTATCACGATTCCTGTACGTATTATCGTTACTGATGCCAATGACAATGCTCCGGTTTTTGTTGGTGCTCCGTATTCAGTTAATATCAGTGAGGTAAGAGATTTTATATTACATTATTGTGTTTATTGTACTATTTCATCATTGATTTTATAACATAGCTAGAAATGAGATGTTTTAAGAGCACCATGTAAAATTCAGTAGTGCATAATAATATAATTAGCACTACACAGATATTGCTGCTGTTCTCTGAGGCATTTCCTTTGATTCAGTCTAGAACTCATAAACAACCCATTATTGTCATTGTTGCTGCTAGTAGCTACGTTTAAATTTTAGTTTAGGTTTATATAGTCATCTATTATATAATTAACTGAATAATAAAATATTTTATTTAAAAATAAATTAACTCTGTGAGGAATTAATTCGATCACAATTGCTGGTTTTCTGAACATTATTTTCAAAATGAAAAAAAATTATATAAACGATATCTTAAAATGGAAAAATAATGTGAGAGATAAGTTGTTATGTTTCTAAGTAGGACATAGCTCCTATAATCAGTAGTAATATTTTTTCAAAACTTGATAAAATGTTTTGTAATTTTTTTTTATGTAAATATTAGTATTTCATTCATTCAGAGTTTAAAAAAATTAGAGCTCTCTCTTAATGTTCTTTGACAGTTCACTCGACCGTATCCTCGATTCACTTTTTTTAAAATCTAAATGTAGCGTAAGTGCTATGGAACTTACTTTTACTGATATGATCCGAAGTAGGCCATAGTCATTGTAGCTAGTGATAATATTTTTTTAAAGCACTCGTGGAATTTTTCATGCATACATTTGTTCGAATTTTTTTTAGCCTTTCATCATTTACATTACCTGAAAAATTGATGCCTTTAAAAGATTAAAAATAAAAATATTCTGAAGCTTATGTCGGAGCATTGTCACTGGGGAGAGTGGTAATATCCATTTTTGCTGAGTAATGTGCGTGCGCGCTCGTCAACGTTTTGAAATCATTGCATTTTTTTTTCATTCATAATGAAAGCTATCCCTTAAGATTGGTAAAAAAAACATTTAAGCATAATTTTAGTCACTGCAATGAGTGAAATGTTATTTTTAACTCCTGGAGCTTAAGTCTTGTTAAAAATTATAAATGCAACAAAAGCGAAGCAAGGTGTTCACAGTAATTTTTGGCATATATGAGAAAATTTATTATGTCCATTCTCATGCTTATTGAGAACAAGTAGTGGTACAGCTAATTAATATAGTATTCTTAGAAAAGGTGTTATTCCTTGTTATCTTTATAATTGCCATATAATTATTTTAAGGAAAACTTTAGTTTAGCGCATGCACAAGACAGTCTAATCAAAATTAATCAATGAACTTATTTCATTTCAATAACTTTAAAGCTGATATTCAAAATTAAGCAAAACATTAAGTACAGAATAAATCAGCTGAGCGTAAAATCAGTCTATCATTTCCATTATCAACAAAGAAAAATTTTGTTCTTCGTAAACAGATTAAAATACAGTTTATCAAGCATTATTTTATTAACGTTTCTTTTTGTTGCAGACTTACCCATACAGTAAAATTAGGAATTTTTAATCATCTTGAAAATATATTGATTTTTAATATTAAGGTATATAAATAAACTCGAAACACGCATTTTTGAAAAAACAATAAACTTTAATCATTATTAAGGTTTTTTACAACAATGCTACTTAAAATGGAAACAGGTTAAAAATGGTAAGCATTTATCAGAATTTGACTTCTATGTTTTCATCCTATTTCCTTAAGAATAAACACCAAAATAATTTATAATGTAGATGGTGATATTGAATGATCTGGACATATTTGTACAGTAAGACCCCGCTTAACGCGGGGGATACGTTCCATCAAAGTAGAGCGTAATGCGAAACAGCGCTAAACGAGGCTATCTTTACATGTAAATATTGGGGTTAGGGGAAGATGGCTAGGAAATTGGTTAGGTATTAAATTTAAAAAGTATGTTTTTTTAATAAAAATAAAACCAAACATTTATTTCTTAAAGCCCAAATTAATACCACATTATTATTTCTTGCAAAAAATAAAAACAAAATATAAATAACAAAACGAATATTCTTAAAAAAAAAAACAAATAAAATTCTAAGTCAGTCATATTTAGTTAGCCTTCCGCGTTTTCAGTGTTCTGCCTTTTTGTAACAAAAGCATCTAATGTTGTTTGCCTTTTTCTTTTGCGTTGTTCTCTTAAAAGTTCTTCATAAACGGATAGAGCATCTCTAACACCACGCCTTACTTTTGAGCTCCTGTCAAAATTCGGATCATTTTCAATGAATTGATCCATTATTTCAGTTATGGTAGACAAACTCCTTTTTACAAACGCCATCGAAAGTTCTTTTTGCTCTTCTTCTGAATCACTGCTGTCAACATTTTTGTTTTCTTCTTGTTCAGTTAATTCCTTGAGCTCATCATTAGAAAGACTAGCCGCTGCTTCTTGAATTGAATGTTTCCAATAATAAAAATATGTCTGTACAATACCGCACCAAACAAGAAATACAAGTACACTCTTTCGGATATGTATTTGAAACCTATCGCTGCATAATATTTCGGGGAATCCCCGTATGCTGCGAGCGATTTCGTGGAATCCCCGGGTTGAAATAAAAGAGCGCTAAACCGAAACAGCGCTAAACGAAACAGCGTTAAGCGGGGTCTTACTGTATTTAAATATATTTTTCAGGCACTTTTCGAAGTAGTTTCCTCTTTGCATTAACAAAAACAGTTGCAACAATTTATCTAAGAAAAATTTACTAGTATCTTAAAGTGATGTATACCTAAAGTATGTACATAAGGAATAAGTAAAAATATTAAAGACCTCTCAGGAAATGCGATGTAGTTATTTTATAGGGTGCTAACGATAAATAACTGCATCGCGTTTCCCGAGAGGTCTTTCAAGAACTTTAGGTAGGTTCCATCTATATAATCATGAATATAAGCCTTTCCACAAGAACTCTGTGAAAGTTATATGGAATGGTAGTTGTGAGTTTTACCAAAAAGTCTTATGTATCTTCAGTTGGTTTCAGGTCTGTTTATCTTATCAGTTTTGTCATAAGTATGTCTTTCGTCTGAGTTTTGTTGAGTTTCTACTTTATTAAGTAAGACTATGTTTCTAAGCAATATTAGGAATTAATATAAACTATGGAAATAAGTTTATAAATAGGTGAATGAAATTTTTAAATGCAGAGTACCACAAAAAATTTCGTATAATTTCGATCAAACCTTGAAATCACTTATTTCTTTGCTGATTCGATTATGGTAAAACATCTCACGTCCCCCTGCCTTGAAACGAATGGCATTATGAAGGACTTTATTAAGTAAAATGTCTCGTGTTTATAATGCATATAAAAAAATCTATGAAAATACCCATATGGTCATCTTTTCCTCTACCGAAAATCGATTTCCAGGTACATCATACGTGAATACAAGCCGAGTTCTCTTTGAAAAACCGTCAAGAGAACTCGGCTTGTATTCACGTTGCTCATGATGTCCCTTCCCTTAGTCACGTCATCCCTTCCCTTAGGCAGATCATGGTAATATGAATAATTATAGGATAATTTGGTGTTTCTTAAAACAGGGGCCTAAGTCTGAGCCTCGGTGATAATCAAGAAGTGGTCACTGTTCAGCTTCCTGACTTATCAAATGAATGACGTATTGCGAGTGTTTAAATTATACGCATTTCAACTCATTTTTCTATTGATATACGTACTTGCTTTAACGCAGAAAAATAAAGTTCATGTTTTAATTTCGAACTGCATGGAAACTAAGATTATCGCAAAAGAAATAGTTTGTAATTCAAATTTTGCATATCTAGTTTAACATTATGATGCAAATTTCATGCCAAAAAAATTTACGAATATGTTTGCATTTGTCGCAAAACAGAGGTTTTGAAAGAGCAAGAGCTCAAATGGTATCCGTTCGTCCATCATCTCCTTCCCAACCGAATTCAAAATTTATTATTCTACTTTAAATTACCTTCCAGAAGTCAAACGGAAAGGGCTTGAACATTTCAAGATTATCGAATTAAGTGTAAATATTACATAATGAAATTAAAAATAATGAGTGCAGATACCAACTTTGTTCTGAGGTTGTGAGGTTTTAGTTTGTAGGGTTTTATATTAATTAACCAGTTATCTTATCTTTGTACTTTCAAGTCAGCTTTCTGCGACTCCTACCAACATGTTAATTAGTTGATGCATTTACGCAAAGTCGCAAAGTTTTTGCTTTCGAACGAGAGACATTGGCAGCTATTGGCAACTGCTACTTAATAACGTTTCACTGCGATTAAATTATTTAATTAGACTTTAGCTTTGCTGGTCGTAATTTCTCGTGAAAGTTTGAAGGCCTGAGACAAATCTTGCATGCGCTTTTTATCTTTTAATATATAATATTTTAATCTCCCTGAGCATTTATTCATAATTCCATCAAGCTGTAGAGATTTGATTTTCTGCTATCACGTAGGTTGTGTAATCATAAGGCTGACAAGAAAATGAAAGTATTTTAAACCTTCTTTAGAGTTCGTGTTATCCGACTTAACAGATACGACGGGATGATATGTCGTTTGACTGTCTTTACAGTTCCAGGAATTAACATTTAGAGTGGTGGGGATCCATACAGATCTGTCTTGTGTTTTGCATTCGATTATTATTTCACGCTAATGAACACAATCATTTGAAATAAATCATCTTGGAGAACTCTCATGCTTATTATAAGTCTCGCTAAAGCATAATCAGTTGCCAATTTCTGGAAATAAGTATTTTGAAACAGATAATAAAAGAGATAATTGCTTCAAAATTACACCGAGATTAACAGAACTAACTTTATAATAATTTCTTTAACGGCTTCACGGAAAATTGCAATATAATTGTGTAATGTAATTGTTTTCCAGGTAACTGTCGTTGGCTCAACTGTGATTCAAGGTATTAAAGCTGTGGATAAAGATCAAGACGGTCCCTTCAGCACAGTGGAATATAATGTGGATGAAGGTCCTTATTCGGTAAGACACGTTTAGATTAATTTCGCTTTGTAAATAAAAAAATGATTGGTCTTACTTCTTGCTACATTTGAAGCATAACTTTTGTGCTAAATTGAATCACTTTACTCCAGTAAGATGAAATGGCACTTGGTTGAAATGGGAGTTATTCTGAGTTCTTTTAGGCTCTCTTTTTTATGTTACGTCCATAATATAGTAAAATAGCCTATATAGGAATTATGGCAAACTTCTTAGCTTCAGATAAATCTGGTTCCATGAAACATTTACTGAGATTTCGAATCTCGAATGTTCGAATGTCTAGTGAAGAAATTACTTATTTTTAAGACATTATTATCAGTATAATTTCTGGGGCAACTTCATGCAAGCTTTCATTTCCTATAGATAGCCTTATAACTGCTATAGACAGTCAGAATTTAGAGTAATTATGTTTTCGATTACAAGAAAAATACATATGCAAGCTATCTATATAACACTTGAGTCAACTGACTATAACGTTTTGTCAAAACTTTTTAAAATAAAGATTTTCTAGCGGTTTCTTTTTGGAAGGGGGGCAATTAATAAAGAAAGCTATTGATCTCATAAATGACAAACGACAACCGCCACGAAAAAACCACAGGTGTGCAAAGTGTGGAATTTCGCAGTCGCCCGTAATCCCCAGAACAGGGCGTATAAAGTGGAGCACGTACAGTATTTGCAGCCATAAATTAACTAATGTAACATACACTGCTGGCCATTAAAATTGCAGCACCAGGAAGAAGGAATGATCTGAGGAACGTCAAAATCACATGAAAGGCAGAAGAGGTTGGGATATGCAAATGATTAGTATTTTAGCGCATTTAGAAGATGCAGGAGAAAAAACATCTGAAGCACAAGCACTGCATAAAAAAAAGTTGTATAGTGGATTTCTCATTCGAAAGCGCTTTGTAAGGTCGGAGTTTGCTCAGAATGTCGTCGTGTTATGCCTCGAATAAGAAGAAATGCTTGCCGACAAGTGTCGGAATTCGATAGAGGCAGGATCGTCACCAGTGTGGATTATCGTTCCGTGATATTGCTCGTCCCACTTGTCGACATCCAACCACTGTCATGCGAATATGGAATCAGTGGGTCTCTGAGGGTCGTACTGAACGGCATGCAGGATCTCAACGTCATTCCATAGATAACGCCCGAGAGTACAGACATATAGTGAGATCATTCCTGCAAAACCATACAACCACATCACGGACCATCCGTCAGGAAATAGGCATGTTTGCAGCACGCCCACTATCCGCTCGTACGGTGCATCGATGTTTGCAGCAGTGTGGACTATCAGCAAGGCGACCATTACTCCAAATTCCCTTGACAATGCAGCATAGAGAGAAAGACGGCGACTCTGGTGCGCCGAATGACAAAGCTGGATACAGGAGTGGCACACTGTCGTCTTTTCAGACGAGCCCTGGTTTTGCGTGCAGTATTCTAATGGCCGTATACGTGGCAATGTAAGGCTCCGAGGAGACCACATTGCCTGCTTGCATTCGATATCGGCATATAAGCCCTGTACCTGGTGTGATGGTTTGGGCAGCCATTGGGTACACGACACGCACATCTCTTCTTTGGCTCGACCATAATTTGAATGCAAATTGGTACATTTTTGACATCTTAGGTCCAATGGTTGTGCTCTATCTTCAAGGCCTGTCAAAAGCCATCTTCTAACAAGGTAATGCAAGTCTACAAATTACACGTCTTGTTCTGACCTTCCTCGATACACGGGATATTCGATTGCTGCCCTGGTCTGCACGGTCTCCAGATCTGTCACCCACTGAAAACATCTGGTCATTGGTTGCTGAGAGACTGGCCCGCCACCCATCTTCAGCTAATACGGTTGATGAAGTGTCACATAGACTTGAAGTAGCATGTTGGAATGGAGTTGACCGTTCCTGTCATCCAAACGGCCCACCAGCGGCCGAGCGGTAAAGTCGCTGAACACTGATAGTTCGATCCGAGGTTCGAATCCCGCGAACGGGCTGGCTGCATGGGCGTTTTCGTGGTTTTCCCCATGTGTAACGTGTATACGAGCCAGTTTCCCTTAGAAAGTCCTCCACGAAGGCATCCCTCCCCTTAGGCAGATAGCCCTAGTGTGCTTTGCCATAATTAAATAAACCAAACCAAACTGTCATCCAAACCCAATTTGAATCCATGTCTAACCAGGTAAGGGCTGTTTTAGCTGCCAGGGGTAGCATCTGTTTCTACTAATTTCGCACCCCTGTAAACCCCCAAACTACTTACAAATTTAATCAATTTGTCTTCATTCCATACTGTTTACATACATTAAATATTTTTTTTACGTACATTAAATTTCTTGGGATATACAGATTGCTTTAATCGCCATATTGTGATACAAATATTGACACAAATGAAATATGGCCGATGAAATTAGACGTGAGAGTGAATTACCGAAGCTTCTTAATGATAAATCCTAGTAGGAAATTAATGTTTTTAATTAGTTTACTCTGTGGACCTTGAAGCACACTCGAATAATTTCTTGGAAGAAGTACTTCCTGACTGTTCAATGCAATTACCTGTGAGAGGAAGGCATTCGAGTGTGAATTAATTAACCTTAAAGAAGGAGAAAAAACTCAAACTCCGCTATCTTGGTAATCAAAAGAAGGTTTTGCATTTCAGAATTGGCATTTTTTATGTTATTTGCTTCAGTTACCGTTGTAGAAGTAAAAGTACTTCTGTCTTCCTTCTTCGTTTTGATTAAAATTAGTCGTCAAATTTAGAAACATTTATTATTTTCTGAATACGAAGTAAATAAACGGTTTCATTGCTCTTCCGAATGATATAGCAGCTTATTTGTTTCGAGCTTCGCCATCTACACTTAAATCAATATATTACAGTGTTATTTTGAATCAGTATGCTTCAATGCTGTTGATCAAAATTAGAACCCATTTATTTACACACTTCGAACGAAGATTACTGAATAAACTCAGAAATATAGAGTGAGAAGCGGAAAATAGTGGCCCTCAACGGATTAAGCGTTGTGGAGTATCTGGCATTGTTAACTATTCAAGGAAGTGGTACAACTAGAAGCAATTATACTTTATGGTTCCTTTGACATCAGACCATTCTTTTTGCATGTGGTTTACTCTCGTTTCTCTCTGTATCATAAACTTTAATAATTTTAAATATGAAATTACAGAAAGCGCTGCGCTGACATTTTTTCCACCAAATTTTTGCTATTCCTATATTTCTTATATTTACAGAAAAGGAGAGGTACAATTGGTTATTAAACTAAGCTAATCTGTAGCCAAACATCTCATGTGAAAATGAATGAAAAAGCATCTGTTGTTAAAAAAAAGAAAATTATACTTGTTATCTGGAATCAAAATCGAACGACTGATATATAGTAGATTAATTGAGTAATACCGGTGACGAAGTCGTCTGCTGTTAATTCAAAATTGCTCTTATTTCAAAATCACGGTTAATTGGAAGGCTGTTGAAAAAAAAAAAAAAACTCATATTACAGTCAATAGAGAAATATTGTCCATAATTTATCTGTATTTTCAAGTAATTTAACCTCGAGAATAAATTCATTTGGTTTCTTCAATTAAACCAATATTCAAAACAAAAGAACACGCTTTGAATAAGGGAAGAACAAACATTATTAGAAAGGATTAAACTGAGTTATAAAGGGTGTAGAGACATTAAGTATTTTTGGAAGCAGGAGTAATGAAAAATTAACAACGCCTTCGCCGGGAATCGAACCACGGACCTCTGGAATACTGTCCAGTGTGCAAACCACTACACCACAAAGAAGGTGGGAGAAATACCTTATAAGGGCATAAAAGAATAATGCTTACAAGACGAATTAAAGAATGTCATTAACAATGTGTTTGTGTTCCAGACTATGTGGAATTAAATTGCGCATCGTTGTGGAGGAAACAACTCTTATAGGCTATTACATTACGTACTGTCACTGCTTTTACGTCAAGCAATGATATAGGAGATGAGATTTATCTTTTTGTATTTTCCATAGACAGTTTAGTTTTACGCTGAGGGTTTGTGATCGTAATTTTTCCATCTTTCAACAAGAAATAAGCTTTAGGCAGAGTTCTGTTAAACCACTTCCGCTTATTCTTAAGTTGATTGCGTAATCATTATAATCGTTGATGCATTAATCCATTCAAATTAAAATTTATTCATAACTATTTACTATGGCTGAGTTTGCCAAAAAATTCAGTTATTAAAGATGTAGTACATAAATAAAACATTTAACGAAACAGTCTATATTAAATGCTTGATCGAAAACCAGTCTAGATCATTTCAGCCCTTTGCAATAAATGTCGAAGGGCATTCTAGCGTGGAACGAACCCAAAAGGCAGGAACGATCTTTCTTGGGAAGAGAAATCTTAAAAGAGCAAAAGCTGGAGATAAATATGATTGATGCTGTCTCACGCTCTAAATAAGGTGTGTTAATACATTTTCTTTGAGGTTATTTATAAATACTGTTGATGCCTTTGCTAATGTAAAGCATTAAAAAGTCTAGTTTAATTTAAAAGATAACAAAGAGCTGTGTTGATGAAATTAATTAATGGAATGGAAACAGGTCTGTAAATAAAAGTTCGAGACAGTGCATGTCCCCCCTTCATTCTAATAGGAGTAAAATTTTGAAATTCTGATCTTTGTTTATTCTTTCAATCAATTAATTACTTGACGTGCCTAAAATTTCAAATATGAATGATCTGAAAAATCTAAGATCAGAACAGAAGTTTCTAATTACTGAGGGAGTTAATATATGTCCTAGTATGCTTTATTACTTTATCTTCATAATTCCCTTTTATAAGTGGTTTCGACCGTTTTTATCTAATACAATTAAGTATTCATAAGATTTAGAATACGTGTTTTCAGTTTCCATTTTGAATTATTATAACAAATAACATAGTTTGTTGAAATCGAATTTTTAAGCAGTACAAAACTTACTCAGCAAAACAAGTACAGTACAAAACTTACTCAGCAAAACAAGTATAATACAAAACTTACTCAGCAAAACTGTAAGTAATCACTTTCTTTTTTCATAATCAATTTTTTTCATTTGAACAGTACTGGCCCTAAATGACAGACTATGCTAGTCGTTTGCAAATTTCGAGAATCAATTTGAAACTGAAGTACTAGGCATTTTAACATACAAAATGTTAATTATTATGAAAACAGATTTACCAGGAGGCCACTTATTTCTCTTATGTTTAATTTCTTACCGAATTAATTAAACCGCTAATGGTAAGAACGACAAGCTATTTTCTCTTAGAGGATTTAAAGGCAACATATTATTAGGAAAACTGCAACTTTTGACAATGTGGAAGTCAAAAGGGAGGTATTCATTCAAATCGTTTGAAAAAAAATGAGTTTGATATCAAGGTAATTTTGGAAGGCCAGATATTTTTACAAAAAGAACTAGTAAAATATCGTTTTCGAACTACGGCAGGCTATATAAACAGTAAGATGCAATTACTTTGCAGTGAGGTGCTTTTGTTCTTAGCCATAGTTCTAGGTAGTAGTGGTCATAGACTGACACGATTTCTGCAGAACTTTTCTCAGTTGGCTTTATTGCAGACCTGCCAGTAATTTACGCTCCCAGATACGAAGCCAATGAAACCTTCACAGGAACTGGTGCCATCATCATGCTACATGAAATAGTCATTAATAACTATTGTTTCCTTCCTTCATGATCTTATTTCTGTCTGCAATCAGATTACAGGCTTCATTCAATATGAAGAACACCAGGGAACTTGCACCTTTCTTCAAACATCAGCAATGCTGTTGGCAGAGATGTGTTTATCTGGAATAGATAATGATTGAATGTACTTCACTGTTATTGTATTTGATAACAGAACTGTAACATCCTATGGAAGATTGAATCCAGTATGCTTTTTCGCATTGCAGTTCATAAAGTTCTTTAGTTTATAGGCGGTAAAACATTTCTCAAAGAGCTCGTGTGGAGAAAGTCATATTTTTTTATTCATGCTTTTGAGAATAATTTTGAATACATCATCTAAACTTCTACAATCTGCAACTGGTAGTTTTTATTAGATTTTGATATTAAAGTTGTTGTTTTGGTTGTATTTCTATTATACAGTATTCTGCTTTGCATAATTTTGTCTCACACTGCAAAATGATTTTTTTTTTTTTTTTTTTTTTTTTTTTTTTTTTTTTTTTTTTTGGTACCAAGGTATTTCAACTGGTTGAAAGATGAGTAAGATTCTTTTGTTAATTTTAACAAGTTATGCCGATTGTTTCCTAAATGATAAACACAATTTTCAGTTATAAGTTTATAAGGTGTTTCTCCCACTTTCCTAGCGTCCTTCGTGGTATAGTGGTTCTGCACGCTGGGCCGGTATTCCAGAGGTCCGTGGTTCGATTCCCGGCGAAGGCGGTTGCTAATTTTTCATCTCTCTTGCTTTAAAAAAAATCCTAATGACTCTACAGTAGCGCCCGAACTAAAAAGGTTGTGGATGATGATTCTCCACACCCAAAATTTGGCGACTAGGTTCCCTAAAACCCTAGTCGCCCTTTAAAAAAGGGAGTATGTAAGGTGTTTCTTCCACTTTCCTAGCGTCCTTCATGCAAAGGGCCGGTATTCCAGAGGTCCGTGGTTCGATTCCCGGTCCCATCTCTCTTGCTTTCAAAAAAAAAAATCCTAATGACACTACAAGTTACATAAACTAGTTCTAAAAATGTTCTAATCTGTACGAAACTTTTAACCTTATTTCAAACCAAATGTATTTATTGGTGTCATATGCAATACTAATTACCTTCAGTCGCCGATATATATTAGTTTTATATTTGAATTCTGTTTCCATTTTATCTTTTCTTGTTTTTTTTTTTTTTTTTTTACTTTTTTTATCCTTCTTAATCATATAGGAACATTTTCAACTTTCATAAATCTATCATAAAGGTACTCACTTTTATTGAACGTAAGAAAAGATAAGAATAGAAATTAAGTTCGTAAATTAAATGTGATTATTTTTTATTTTAAGGTAAGATATAAGCTAACACAAAAGATAAAAATGCCAACATGCAGGTATTTCGTTTATAATCCTTGCCTTTTTCATTTACAAATTATCGTTTAATTTATCGTTACATTTTTTATTCTTTCATTTATGACAGATCTCTAACTTTCTGTTCTGAATGTTAAAAAAACAAGAGAGTAGTAACTTTAATAATTACTTTTTGCTATGGAAACGAAAATTACACTTTAATGCTCATAGTAAACAAAATTACACCATAATAACTTAGCGCTAAGTTACATTTTTAATTTAATTTATTAGTTACCACATTTTCACTTATTTTTGCCCTCTAAATTTTTCAGCAATCAGTTTAGAAACTTTTCATTTATGATATCTTCACACAAGGTATGAATACATAGTGAAATATAGCATGTAAGCAAAAACAATGGCATTGGAATCAGTAAGTGCGTAGTCATTAATTTGTTTTGAAGCAGAAGACGTGAAACGTGTGCAGTGCCTTCGCCGGGACTCGAACCCTGGACCTCTCGAATATGAGTCTAGTATTCTTCCAATTACACGATGAAGGCATGAGCAAAGGAGGGAGAAAATACCTTGTATGCTTCCCTTTTTAAAAGACGACTGGAGATGACCAATCGCCAAATCTTCGTCGAATTATTGCATACCACCTTTTTTAAGTTTCGAAAGCCACTTGTAGAGTCATTAGGTTTTTTTGAAGCAGGAGACGTGAAAAATGTGCCCTCGGCGGGACTCGAACCCTAGACCTCTCGAATACGCGTCGAGTATGCTTCCAATTATACTACGGAGGCATACGGAAAGAAGGAAGAAAATACTTTATAAGCGGAACTGACGTCTTCGAAATATATAATACAGCGATGCAGGTGTACTAATATTATTTGTATTTTACATCTTTTTTATATGCGTTTTTAACTACTCTTTCAGAAATAGTATGCACCGCGTAATTTTTCCTTTTCTATTTTCGAGAAAGACATTAGTTAAAAAAAAGTGCGGAAAAATGTGCGATTAAATGTGGTGTTTTTTTCAACATTTTTTTTCTCATTCATTGATTGCGCTCTTCAAGTTGTTTGCATTTGTTTGGTAAATTAAAAAGTATTTTTTGCTTCGTAGCATCTTCTGGCTTTCGAAAACACCCTTGAAGGACACGTGATACTTGCATCAGCTTTGGATTATGAAACCTTGCCAAATTTCACTGTAATCATCAAAGCAAAGGTAAGTTATTTTATTTGAGAACGTTAGAAACATTAATTTTGATTTAAAAATGGCAAAAATATGTACATTATTATTGACAAAATTGTGTACGGTATATCGCATGAGACGCGTAAGAATAAGCCCCAGGTTTTTGTCTTAAAAACAAGTAATGTAAAAAATACTTTTAACTACAGAATCCTGTAAACAATCAATCAGAAGTAGCCAGCTATTAGAATGTAACTGAAAATAATATAATGCTGATGAAAATTGATTAATTTAAGAGGAAGACATGCAAGTCACTGCAAATTTAAAATTAGGTAAAAAAAACTTTAGTTTGGCGTAATCTTTAAACAAATTTTGACTGATTTCGAATGCAATCAGCAAAACACTTTCACACATGCATAACAGGGATGTTTGTCTGATTATTCTCGATATTTAGAGTTTTATTCAATATCTGCACCAACTGAAAGCTACATTTATGCTTAATTTTAAGTTTATTTGCGTATTTAGAATTCAGATCAGCAAGAGAGATCATAATTTAATATAAGATTTACCGAACTGTTGTTTAAATAATTTTATTGCCAGATAACTAATCCCCCGGCAAAAGAAATTTATTACCTATTCAAGTGCATTCTGCATTGTGAATTTCTTTACAGGATCATGGAGAGCCACCACAATCCTCTCTCACAACTTTGACAGTGTGGGTCCAAGATGCCGATGATCAAAATCCCCGATTTCTTTCTGAAAGTTACAAAACTGTTCTGCCAGAAAGACCTCGACCGGTAAGTCCGTTATTTATTACTTAGAATTCTGGCTTATTCGGCATTTTAATGAAGTCTATCTAATTCAGTATATAATTAACAGGTTAGAGTTAGATTCAAGGGGTAGCGGCAAGTTTTAATCGCAAGGAACTTATGAACCATATCATTAAATGACGTTTAAAAAAACAATAAAAATTTTCTATATCTGAAGCCCCCTCCCGAAAACAAAAAGTTGGTAAATCCGCCACTGACATTAGCTTGCTATGAAATGCTAAGTGCAGAAGAAGTAAAGGAAGATTAGCTTGTAAAAGTTCTTTTTATATACTTCTATTTTGTAGTCCAAAAAAAGATCGGATCTAATGTAGACCAATTTACAAATCAATTAAAATACAAGTTATTAAAGTGAAAACTGATTCTAAAAATTCATTCAAAATAATCCGTCGGAGAAGAATGTTTCTTATTTTTTATTTATAAACTACATATGTGTAACTCAGGAAGCTTGCACCTGTCCTGGTAGCTAGGTGGAAATCATGATTTAGATGCATTTTTTATTAAATTTAATTATTTCTATAGATTTAGAACATGTATACGTAACTCCCAGTCATTACGGTAATTAGCAGAAGCCGCTCTCGCACCGATGAGTAGGGGCTCGAATCTGGGTAAAGCATACCCGTTTTCAACTGGAGAGATAATGTATGTGAAAGTTCTTCGATTCAGAAGTCTTCCTTAGAAGCTGATAAATGGAGGAGGACGAAATGAAAAACCTCGGTTACATACTTTAATGTATCTTAATCTATCATCTCATTCTGTTTGGCAAAAGTCATACTGCCATCATTGGGGCCCAGAAATACTTTGATGAACAGCAAAACTCATATTCACCTTACACATGTGGAAGATCACAAAAACTCCATGCAACCATCAAATTTGTCTGAAACAGAATGCAGGATGAATTATCAGTTTTCAGTAGTCATATTGACTCTGCGATTGGTGGGATAACTGTAGAATATATTTGAAAAAGCGTACACAGGGAATAATCCCTGTAACTGCTTTGATAAAACTGACATTTGTCTAGACATTCAGTAAGACAATGTTGCCAAAATATCTTTCTTTTTCTGGTTTGGGAGTACGCAATGATAAACAGGAACAGCAAATGCTTTCTATTTTACGACGGCATTTTATTGGATATAAAAAAATTACATTAAAAACTCACTGATATGCAAACGTTATTCGAGATTTTTTTAACATGCATGTAATCGTTGATGTTTTATTCTATGATCCAAAACAATGAGCAATTTCCATATATTAACATTAGATTTCTCTTTCACTTTGAAATTACCACCAAGCTGTTTTTTTTTCCCAGGATAATTATCCCCCCCCCGTTCCTCCGGAACAACAATTGGGCATAAAATTGGCCAAACATAGGAAGAAAGTAACGCATAGAAAAGCCTAAAATTCCATAAATAACAATTAGGCGTATGTTTAAGTTGTTTAAATAAGTATTTTTAGGACATGAATTCATTAATTTTAACTAAAGATAGTATTTAACAGAAAATTTATTTTATTGTCCTTCTGTTGTGTTATTTGAAATGCTACCCTTTCCAAAATGTTTCCAATAGAATTAACTTCTCGTGGACCTTTTCCTGTAAGTTTAGAAACGTGCAACATTCGAAGCTTTATCACATTCATCGTCAAGGAATTAACGCTCTATCCATTTTACTTTTCATAACACAGCATGTTCTCTGTAACAGGTAATAAGTTTTGTTTTCGAATTACTAAATTGTGATTCCTATCGAAAAGGGTAAATTTAAAATATTTCTAAGAATAAAATAGAAACTCTTGCAATGTGACTTAAATACAAAAATTTCTAACAGCATATTGAAAGTCTGCTAAAAGATTTGCATGTTTGGAATACAGATTTTTTTTTCCCCGTAACCCTAATATCCATATCATTGCTTTAAGCTAAGTGTTAATTTACTCTCCTGCTCAAAAAAATAAGCAACAGATGGAAAACATGGAATAAAACAAAAACTATTTAATGAATATGTGCGAAATTGTTCCAAGAGATTGGTGTGGTATTACTAAGCCACACAGCAAACAATAAATCAAAGACATACAAGGCACATGTATTACGACCACCACATCACGAAAGACCAAATGTGTCCGAAGAATGTGCATTGGTAACATCCCGCTAATAACGAATATGATACCCTCTAGCTGAAAGGCATGCTTGATAACGACGAGGCAAGCCGGCAATAATGTTATTGATCGCTTCGTGTCCCACAAATGCTCTATGGGATTCGGATCCGGTGATCTAGCAGGCCACGGATCCCATAGACTGATTTCAATTTCCAGATAACTCCGCGCCACTCGAGTCCTATGCGGGCAGGCATTATCGTCTATAAATATCGCGTCGGTATCCATTGCAGTGATAAAAAGACGCAAAAGAGGGTGTAGAATTTTGTCACGATATTCGTCCGCTGTGACGGAACCATCAAGAATCACATAGAGATCGGTGCGGCCGTTCGTTATTATTCCAGCCCATACAAGTAAGCCTCTTCCTCTGTAATGCTCTCTTTTGATGATGTTCACGCCCGTTAGCGTGCCCTGGTTCTCGCCATATCATTGCTCTTTGGGAACCGTCCTGGATGTTAGATCGAGACTCATCCGTAAAGAGTACGTAGCCCCCCCCCTCTTCTGGTGTCCATCTGCGTTCATGAGCCCAGTTCAACCGAGCTCTGACATACGAGAGGGACAAAGGAAAACAAACCACATGTCGTTTGACGTGCAGTTCACCCTCCTGCCGTCGACGCGGCACAGTTTGACGGGATATGGTCTGTCCTGAAGCAGCAGAGAGATACTGATGTCGTGCAAAGAGACATTGTTGTCATGTTGTCATCCTGTTAGTCATCTACGGCGTTTTGCACACAGCAACAGGAAGCGATCGTCTGCCGTTGTGGTAATCCTCCAGAGTCAAGACTCACCTCTTCTACAAGGGTTTTGATCTCTTTGGTAACAATTCCACAGCCTTTTGCTATCTCGCAACAGCAAATTGTCTTGCGTTAGCTTGCAAAAACCCGACAGCCCTCCAGCAGATGGTGTCTTCGACTCATGCTTTCCGCTTTGGCTATCTCGGATTATACGGAACTATCGCTGCTTGGGAACTGACGCATAGGTCCAGCATGCCCCTTTTCAAGGCGTTGTGGTGTGACTGCGGGATTTGTGTTTCATACTAGTTTTGGTTGCCTATTTACATTCTCTTTTGCAACCTCTACTTCATATGTAAACTCTATGTTTTAAATTCCCCTTTTTACATTCTTACTTTTTCTTTTAGCGTTTGTGGTTTATTTTTTTAGCTCGAGTGTAGTATCCATTTTAAAATAAAAAGTGAATGACTTCCTAATTTTGATGTTTAATTCAGGAAATCTTATAATTGTTATTGAATAATATAATTACGAAATATCTAATTATTTGAAATATAAGTATAAGCCGTGAGTTGCGGGAAAGTTTAATATAATTTAAATAGAAATTAAGTTTGATGTCTAATACCAATACCTTGATTTTAAAACCGAGACGAGGAAAAAGAAGAATTATTTTTTATTCTACAGTTAAAAGAAAGTCGTTATGCCCATCACCACGAATATTTTTAGAAAACTGAATTATTAAAGATGGGTTGATAAGTTTGTAAGTAATAAAAATAAGTTGTATACTCAAAATCCTGCTATCAAAGAAGATGTCAAAATTCTGACGTACGTATAAGCGGAAAAAAGTAATCAAATAATGAAATTGCCACGCTTTTTTTTACTTGAAGCTCAGTGCTGTGTTTGTTCATTTTCCAGGCAGTTTTAAAAGTTTTATTAAAAGTTCCCTTATTTTTCTTTACATTTGTATAGACTAAGTGATTTGTAAAATTTTCAATGGATATCTAGTTCATGAAGGACGCTGCAAATTATTCTAACAAGGAACTAAGCATTCGATTGAACGGCAGTAGCCTATTTCACGCTTTTCATAACTGGAGGTGGAAAATACTTCTGAATTGCATATTTCACTAACAATCTTGTATTTGAGGACATCTTAATATCTTTTTATTGCCTTTTTATCTAAGGTATTTCTCTCGCATTTTTAGCATGCCTTCATGGTGTAATGATCAGCACACTCGGTGCGTATTCGAGAGGTCCGTGGTTCGAGTCCCGGCGAGGCATTGCTCATTTTTCCTCTCTCCACTTTTTAAAAAGTATCGTAGTGACTCTACAATGTTTTTAAAGTTATTAAAGTTGACTCTACAATATTTTTAAAGTTTAAATGCCCTTAATATACAATATTCAAAGGAAAAAAAAAGTTTGAATGTTAGATCTATTTCGAATAATATGAAGAACTTCGGTTTTCGTCCATAGAATGGCATCAAATCCCACACTGATCAGTTCTTAGCTAAATAAATTGTAAATTTATGCCTAGAAAAAAGTAAATGAGTCGTAATATAAATCGAATTTGTGTAAAGCAAACAAAAGTAGAAGAACGAAGATGAAACAAACACAACAAAACGTTAGATTATTTTACTGGGGATTAAAAAAAAAATTGTGATGGTGGAGCATACTATCAGTTGTTCGATAAATTCCTTTCGTGAGTTCTTTCGAAAGCTGTTCTGTTAATTGTGCGCATAAAACAATCGTTCTGAGATTCCTATTATTTCTTTTTTTTTTTTTTTTTTAAACTGTGTATTTCTGCTAATCAAGCGGATTCATAAAAAGGTAGGGAACTGCTTCTATTTCGTGTAATATTCGCGTTGTTGCATGTCTAAACAGTGGAACCGGATGTTGAGTCATGCTACATGACTACAGTTTCCGTTTTCATCTTTTAGCATTTTTTTTTCTTTTAAACTTCCGTGGACCGGAACGGGATTCTGCAACGCTGAAACTTCAATTAGTCGGTGCTGAAGAAGCCGCATCGTCTTAGGAGTATTTAAAAATTTTTCTGTACTTGATGTACAGTTTTCATGTTCGTTGTTGATTTAGCTTCGATGCCGT